GCCAATATGAATCCAAGGGGCTATAGCGTAAGGACCATTCTAGCTAATAGCGGTCTGCGAGTTTAGTGCAAAAACGCATGATCGCACAGGAGAGCCTGGTGCGTTCCAGCCTGGGTTATGATAAGTTAATATGGGCTTACGGCAGGTGCGGCAGATATGCAAGAATCGGTTTTGCTTCGCTACGGCAATTTTACCTGTTTATCAAGCGAAAAATTTCAAACCTTTGGTTTTTATGCGTTTTTGCCGTGCAGCGCTAGAGCGCTGCAACAGGCAGCAAAAATGACCCTGTCAGTGTCTGTGTTTGTGTGCGTGTTCGTCTGTCCGGGTATTTCAAATCGCTAACCGCGCAAGCTTTGAAGCTGAAGTTTTGCCGGTGTGTTCCCCAGCCAGGTACCACCCCAGGACCGCAGTTTTAACCCTCACGCACGTCTGGACCCCGCATACGAGCACGTGAAAGTTTTGGCGCGAAAATCGCTAACTCGGGAACGAGAAAAGCTAGAAAGCTGAAACCCTTGGGAGAACGTTCCCCACCCGTATACGACAAAAAGATTTCAAATTCAGCTGCCCAGGACTGCCCGCACGTGAAAGTTTTGCGCGAAAATCGCTAACTCGGGAACGAGAAAAGCTAGAAAGCTGAAACTTTGGACGTACGAGCACGTGAAAGTTTTGGCGCGAAAACTGCTAACTCGGGAACGAGGAAAGCTAGAAAGCTGAAAACTTGGGGAATGTTCCCCACGCGTATATGACAAAAAGGTTTCAAATTCAGCTGCCCAGGACGGCCCGGGACTCACGTACGGACACGTGCGCGTATACGACAAAAAAGATTGCAAATTCAGCTGCCCAGAACTGCCCGGGGCTCACGTACGGCGACGTGAAAATTATGGCAGGAAAATTCATAACTCGAGATTGAGAAAAGCTAGAAAGTTGAAACTTTGGGGGAATGTTCCCTACCCATGCGCGACTAAAAGTTTTCCAAAATTTCCACGTACGAGCACGTGGAAATTTTGGCGTGAAAATCACCAACTCGGGAACGGGAAAAGCTAGAAAGCTGAAACTTTAGGGGAATATTCCCTACTCATGTACGAGCAAAATCAGGTGTTTAGAAGCATCCGGGGCTCACGTACGGGCACGTGAGGGAATGTTTCCCACTCATGTACGAGCAAAATCAGGTGTTTAGAAGCATCCGGGGCTCACGTACGGGCACGTGGGATTCTACTCACGTGCGAGCAAAATCAGGTGCTTAGAAGCATCCGGGGCTCACGTACGGGCACGTGGGAATTTTGGCGACGAGCAAAATCAGGTGTTTAGAAGCATCCGGGGGCTCATATACGGGCACGTGGGAATTTTGGCGCGAAAATACCAAACCGGGAGCGGGAAAAGCTAGAAAGCTGAAACTTTAAAGGGATGTTTCTCACTCATGTACGAGCAAAATCAGGTGTTTAGAGGCGCTCGAGTCCACGTATGGGCATGTGAAAATTTTAGCGCGAAAACTACTAACCCGGAAACGGGAAAAGCTAGAAAGCTGAAACTTTAATAGAATGTTCCCTGCTCATGTACGAGCAAAATCAGGTGTTCAGAAGCGCCCGAGCCCACGTGCGAGCGCGTGGAAATTTTGGCACGAAAGTCACTAACCCAGGAATGAAAAAAGCTAGAAAGCTGAAACTTTGAGGGAATGCTCCCTGCTCATGTACGAGCAGAATCAGGTGTTTAGAAGCGCCCGAGCCCACGTGCGAGCGCGTGGAAATTTTGGCACGAAAGTCACT